ATCGATTAAGGTTCGTCCGTTGTTGAATTACATGAGGTGAGACTTTGCAGTACTAACCACATACTCCGGTAAGTCTTAACTTGGCTATTCTATTACGAGAATGGCTACTCGCGCACTAGGAGTGGAGAGATGGCGGGAATAGCGTGTATCCATGTGGCAATGGACTGGATTGGTGGAGTACTGTATTCTCGGGTGGCGCGGACCCATTTTTGTTTTAGAGGATCCGAGGGTAGGTTGATATATGTAAGTTGGGGACCTACATATGTCGTGTGGTCTGAAATTCCCAGCTGGGTTTAATCGGTTCGAATCGTCGTTGCTCCTCGATTATGGAGACTCAACTCACTGTTCATCATCGTAGTTAATAACTGAAATTTGAGCTGGATTTGAGAAAGAGTTTGAAATGAAGTTCATGATCTCATTACGGACCATGGCAGATTCATATGTGTTTTTTATGAAGTTTTAAATGTTGATATAAAGAGTTTTGTTAAAGAGGTTTTACGCAAAAGAACTTTGATTATTGCTAAAGCCATACCTTGAATCCCTGAGCCTGCATTCCTGCGTTCTATCAATTCTTAGTTCGGTTAAGTCTTGTTGAGTACTTTTGTACTCAGGGTTCGTTGACCCTTGTTGCAGGTGAGGCTCATGAGCAGGTCTGCTTTGGACCGTGCTGCATGACTGTTGTTTAATGCGATGATGATAAGTAAATGTGTGGCCTTTGGGCAGGGCAGTTTATTTATGTGTTTTGTATTATGTTATAATGCCACTCCACTACTTTGGTTTGTAATAATTATCAAACTTAGTTGTATGGTTTGAAACAAATGGTTTGTAAACTATGTTATTGTAAGACTTCCGCTGATTTACTCTGGTGTAGATATTTGAATAAATGTTGTAATACTGCAATGACTCTGTAATGTGATTCTGCTCGGAAATCGTGGATGATTTGGGGTTCCCCGAGGACACCCGACAGTCTTCTTAAGTTACCAGAAACATATACATAGATGTTAGAGGTCGTCGGACAATGACAGGTGCATATGGGCCCTATAATTTAGGAGGTTCTGCCACAGGATTTTCCCCTTTCGTATTAATTGGAGGTGTTCGTAGCCCCCTCATGTTTCAAAGAACAAAGATAATTTGCCAGAAAAAAATACTGAAGCAGAGATGGGTGTTGGCCATTCCCAAAACACATTTATCGTTCCTATGGTGCCAGATTCTCCAGAACAACAACATCAATTTTACTCTGATGTCTTTGTTGACGCTATTAAGAAGAGCAGGAATCCAATCAGGTCCTCTATAAGTGAAGGCTAAGTCATCAGCGAGGTTCCACGACTGGCGCAAAGGATATCTAAGCGCAGATGCAAAAATGCAGCGGACCATGGCGTGATGACCATCTTGAGGGTTCATACCACGTACTGGGCAGGTGGCATAAAGAGATTAGGTGATGGCTCAGCCTATTTGATTGTACAACCAGGCTATTACGAGCTGACTTCCAAATAAATATTTTTTTATTTTTTACGGCACCGGGGTTCCATATTGCATAAAAAAATTTCCTATCAATTTATAAAAAATCCTATTAGCAGACCGGCTAGGACCAATGTTGTTGTGAGATCTTCCTTCCATTACAAGTTTGTATACACTTCTAACAGACAAAAAGCCCATTCTTTTCATAGTGACATGATATTTAATGATACCAAAATCATTCTTTGATTTGAGTTATGACTGCCCTAACACCAACTACTGTTCCATCCAAATACTCCGTATGCAGGCCCTTATATCTACTAGTGTGCCAATGAACTAGCCGTTCAGCCGTCACACGGCACGAGCAGCTATTAAAAAAGGTAAATCCAGCAGAGGCCGTACAGGCTACAGGCGAGCGGCAATAGACACGGGCAACACACGGCCAGTCGGCCACGAGAGGATTTCGAAACCGAGAACCGGTGCGCGCTCGCTCGCGGACTGGATCCAGCCATCCGCCGCGCGGCGTCGAACACGCGAACCTCGCACGGGTGCTGCCGCTCCTGCACGGCTTCCTCAGCCAGGAAACAAGATACTCCCTCCGTCCCACATTATTTGTACGTATGCGATTCAAATATTTTCCTAAAATAATCGGTCGAGATAGCTGGATGCAGAGCAGTCTGACACACAGTCTGACGGCCGGCACTTCCTGGCCACTCGTTCTCTTTTCCCATTCATCGATTTATTACTTCCTCCGTTTGGGTTTACTTGTCAGTAATTTTTTATTGTAGTAAATTTGACCATCTGTTTTTTCTTCTAAAAAAATCTTAGATACTTCAATGTATATAACACTAATAAAATATGTTCAATAAAGAATCATATATGTAAAAACTTGATGTATCTAAAAATCTTTTACAGGAAAAAAACGTATGATCAAAATTGCTACAGTAAAAATCCGGTGACAAGTAAACGAAAACGGAGGTAGTACTTAAAAAACGGACGCTCAGCCTTATCTGTTCGCTCCGTCTCTCGATGGTTCCCGTCGCCGCTGCAACTGTTCCTCTTCCCGTCGCCTGGCACTCCACGCACAGCGGCCAAACCCATTCCACGCCCCGGCCGCCACAGGCAAGACGATCTCGTCCCCCGCGCCATCGCCATCGCAGAGCAAGAATGACCCTCGCCAGCCGCCATCGCATGGGTTCCGCGCAGACCATCGCGCGATGGGCCGGACCTCGCAACGCCGCCACACGGCTCGGCTCTGGCCGATGGAACCCGTCGTCCGGCCGCGCACTTGCACCCGCTGACCGCACAGCAAGACGCGATTGCCGCTTCCGCAGTAGGGCTCGGCTCGGCGGCGGCGAAGCTACTAAGCTTATGCTGGTGCTGGCGGAAAAAGCTCGTCCTCGTCGGCATGGAAGACGGAGGTGAGGCCTGACGTCGATGGTGGCAGGCGGCCTCGACGCCCCATGTGGCGAGGGGGCCAGAGCCGACACGCCGCTGGCGGCCAAAGAAAAAGAAAGCTGTGTGAGAGCGCAAGGGAGTGGTGTGGTGGGACGGGTCGCGGGAGGAAGGGACTGATATTTACAGGGTCATTTTTGTAATTTCGCATACACCTTGATTAGCGTGCCCGGTCTTAGAAGTGAGAATAATGTGGGATGGAGGGAGTAGGTGTTAGGAATCAGCATGTGATATTGTAGCATTTTCGTTTGTAATTGATAATTATTGTCTAATCATAACTTAACTAAGCTTAAAAGATTCATCTCGTAATTTACAATCAAACTATGTAATTAGTTATTTTTTTATCTATATTTAATATGTATCAAAGATTTGATGTGATAAAAAAAAGTAAAAAAACTTAGAATCTAAACCAGGCCTAGACAGATAGGCTCCACGAGCACGAGGGGCCAACCTTTTGGATGAGCCATGATGGCCCGCCGGGCGCGGCCGGTTGCCATGGTGCGTGGGCGGCAGGGGCCGGGAATGCGGCAGATGGCTGGCTGGGCCCTGGCGCTGGTCGGTCTCGGTCTCGGTCTCGGTCCTCGCCGTTTTCCGGTATTAACGCCGTGTTTAGTTTCAGAAAGTTGGAATCTGGGGTTACTGTAGTATGTTTGTTTTTATTTAACAATTAGTGTTTAAATATAAACTAATTAGGCTTAAAATGTTCGTCTCGTAATTTCTCATCAAACTGTATAATTAGTTTTTTTTTTACATTTAATGCTTCATGTACAGACGTGACAGATATGGTAGTACTTTTTGGGATTTTGGGTGAAACTGAACACGCGCTAAAGTCTCGTCTCGTGGCGCCACATGCGGACAAGCTGCGGTTCTTGGTCATCACGCCGGTACAGCGCGCTGCCTGCCCCCAGGCCCCAACAGCCCTGACTGCCGAGCTGGATCTCGTGTGCAGCGTGGGGCCCATTCAGCGGTTCTGTCCCTGCAGACTGCGGTGCAACATCGATTTTTATCCCCCTCTGCTCTCGAGTCTTGACTTTTGACTCGCTTCATCCACCAGGCCTAGTAGTACTACTTTTATCGCGAGCAAAGAATCGATAAGAAATGTTGTTACGTAAGGGCGTGTTTAGATGGCGAAATTTTTTGGTTTTAGCTATTGTACTATTTTCGTTTGTATTTGGTAATTATTATCTAATTATGGATTAATTAGGTTTGAAAGTTTCGTCTCGTGATTTTTCATTCAACTGTGCAATTAGTTTTGTTTTTCGTCTACATTTAGTACTCTATGTATATGCCGTAAAATTCGATGTGATATTTTTGGGTTAAAATTTTTGGAATTAAACATGGCCTAAAGAGTCGACGCGGGTGAGAGGTGATCCGAACGCTTGTGAAGGGGCAACGTCGTTATTATATTAGAGAAATATAAATAAACCATACAAACATTATAGAAAGTTTACACAATTCCGTTATATACAAACACTAAGTATGTTGTCATGACGTGCTGTTCAAATCTTTGCAGGCTTGGCTGTGGACACTGGCCCTAGCTTTGCCGAATAAAAACAGGACATGAAAAAATAGCTCAGTTCGCAATCTTTTTGAATTCATCGCATGCAACACTCTGTCCCTCCACTGCATCCATCCACCCACTGCATTCAAGAAACAATAACAAGTGGAGAGGATAATTCTTTAATGCAAGAAGCGAAGGGCTGCCGCGGCGAACGAGGCGATCGCATTATTGCACACACATCAAAACTCCACAAGGCTAGAGGACGCCATTATTACGGACGAGTAACCATCCAATCAAACGACACTCCAATCGACATCGCATCGGGCAATTTTACCGAACCATCTCTCTCTTGTCTTCCTCGCTAGCGTGTAGCCAGGCTACGCTAGCGGCTGAAGCGGTGGGAGGAGGAAAGAACGCAGGAAGCTACAGCGGCCGAGGTCCCCGTGCGCGCCCACCGAGGCGTCGCGCATGCGGCCACCCGCACCCAGGCGCCGGCGCGGGGGAGTGAGGCGTGCAGGCGGAGCAATGGCGGGCGGTCTGGGCCGATCCGTGGATCTGTAGGCACGGCCGCGCGGGCGGTGCGTTCGTGATGGGATCTGGGAGCAGCAAGGCCACCACCACCTCCTCCTCCTCCTCCTCCTCGTCGTCGCCCACGGCGGCGGAGGCGGGCGGCGAGGTTAAGAGGCCGAATGGGAGCGGGAAGGGGAGGAGGGGGAGGAGTCTGCTGCCGCTGCCGCTGCCGAGCTCCTCCTGCTTCCGTGGCTCCACGACGCCGTGCCAAGGCGACGCTTCCGCAGCAGCGGTGGTGGACGTCGAGGTAAGGGTGTTTCATTTCATTTCCCTCTCGGTGCTTCGAATCTGTGCGTGTTGGTGGAATGCGGTGAATCGGGCGAAGGAAGGGTGTTTTCACAAATGGAGTGCGGATACGTGGTAGATCTTGTAGCTGTGAATTCGTTGCTTCGTGGATCGAGCAACTAGCCTCAGTTTCTGAACGAGCATTTCTGGGGGATTCGAGATTGTTCAACGGCTTCATAATTTGGTTTCAAATTTCAGAAGCCATTGCCCATTGGTTGGATGTTCTGAACTCTGAATAGTTCTGAACTTCTGATTGGTTGGATGCGCCACAGAAATTTCTTTCCGCAATTATCCTCTTTCTCTTCGATTGCCTGTTTGGTTTCGATCATGTCAAATATTTTTGAACTCCTTGTGTATGAACCATGAACCACTAAAGTGTACTACTATGATTTATGAATGGATAGTTTGGAATTCTAAACTTCACTTATCTTTAGTTTCCTGAATTGGGTTGCTGTTACAGTTTTAGATCAAAGGCTCATTGCTGCTCTAGTTAAATGATGCATTTGTATGTTTCTAGTGTAACAAGGGAGGGGAGACTGCAAGCTTGCCTTCACTCACTCACACTGCAAAGTCTGATGAAGATGTTCTTGTAATGCCTAAGTCTCATCCCGGCGAAGGGGTAGCAGCACCTTCATCAGATAGCGAAAGAGATCAAGATGATGATGTGCTACAGAATGCTGCTGCCACTAGCACATCAACAGCGGCCAATCAATTGCCAAATCCCTCTGGGAGGTCAAGGCCACGTTTTGGTGTCAACTTTGGGTTGAGTAGAGCTGTCAGCTTGGGATCATCAGTAGCCTGCTCTATTCTGTCATCTGGCCTCCCGACTTCTGCTAATCCAGGTGAAGGTCGGCGAGATGTGGATGACTCTTCTGATACAGGCATCTCCCAGCAGGGTAGTGCACCGACTGCTGGGATTGATTCGACTCTGGATATGCTTAGAGATAGTGTCACGGCACAAGCTAGAGCAGCTCGTCAGGCTAGGAGAAATCTGCTAGAATCTGAAGATGCTAGCTTGAGGAGCTCCTACAGAAGGATGGGGTCTCAGGAACCTTTTGAAGGCAGTGTTCGGTTTAGCCGGACATTAAGTGTTGGGCGGCTTCGGGACAGAGTTCTCAGGCGGCCTCCATTCTCAGATGGGCTATTCACCCCTTCGCTTCTTTACGATAGGGCAGTATGGCCATCTGGAAATGCTAGTGCTAGGCAAGATTCAGCAGTCATGCAAAGGACTAATTCAGACAGGAGTTCAGAACCGCGATCTGATCCTTCAACCAACGATCTGTACAACTTGAGCTCTGAGAGGCAGGCCAGTAATAGCGACCTACTGGAGCGCAGATCAGCTTTTCTTGAGAGGAGGAGGATACGATCTCAGGTAGTTTGAAGTTCAACTTTATTTCAGCCTTGGTTATTACCTCTAAGAATTATAAGTCTATAATGTTTGCTGTCTTAATAGGTCAGAGCTCTGCAAAGGTTGGGCAGCAGGTTTGAAAATTTATCAGGTCATGAGAGGTCCTGCATACTATCTGGTCAGCATAGAACAGGAAATTGCAACTGCAGAACAGGTAGTCGACAAGGCAATCCTGATGAAGAAACTAGCACAAGGGCTAGCATATCGAGAATTGTTATGTTAGCAGAAGCACTTTTTGAGGTAAAAGAATGTAATTCTTGCTTTAATGAGTCAATCAATCTCATGTTTGATCAAATATATACAAAAAAGTATTAATATTATGATGTATAATAAGTATCATTAGATTAATCATGGAATATATTGTAATAATAAACTTATTTGTTTGGAGATACAAAAGTTTGACTTAGTCCAAATCTAGGACTACATTCTTTTTGGGATGAAGGTAATAGTTCTGTTCTTGATTGGAGAAGGATACTAACTGTCATCCTTATGGTTATGACTTTCAGGTTCTGGATGAAATTCACCACCAATCTGCTGCATTATCGTCATCAAGACCATCATTTTCTTCAATTGGATCCGTTCCTGCTCCAAGGGAGATTGTTGAGCGTCTTCCTGCAAAAGTGTATAGGAAACCATTGAAATACCAGAGCGAGGAAGCTGCACAGTAAGACATTATGGCCTATTTAGAATAATGTTTGGAAATTTGTTACGTAATTATGTTAATTTCGAACAGGTAACAGGTTTAGTCTTATGTTTCACTGTTTCATAAATATGACAAGTTCTTTTCAGTGTGTTAAACTCCTTCCAGAGCAGCCACTATTATTTGTCCATAAAGTTCAGTGTCTAAACTCGATCCTAACTTAAGCAAGCGATACTTAGGCTAGATAAAGCATGGTTATACAGCATTCAGACAAAAACACTTGATTTGTGATCACATGGGAGATTGGAGGAGCCTAAGACTTCTCACTAGGCATGCCAAATTCCCAATTTTGCCTGCACCTTCATATATTTCAATCTACCATTCAGAGCCCAGTAAAATAATTATTTTATGTGTGGAAGGGCATGCATGAAAAGTTTGCAATGCACATGTGGTCTCTACAGTCTACACTATACAATTGCCATTTAAGTTGGTGGTTCATTTCCAGCTGCATAGCACCTGTATGTTTTATGAGTGGGAGTGTGGGATTATTGTGTGGGCACTTGTCCTTGTAACCTTGCAATCACGTATTATTGTACAACTTCTCATTTCTTTCATCTATGCAGATGCTATATTTGCCTTGTTGAATATGAAGAGGGAGATTGTCTTCGTATACTTCCATGCCGTCATGAATTTCATCTAACATGTGTAGATAAATGGCTAAAGGAGATTCACAGGTATTCATCCTCTTATTTAACAACGAGCATTCTTTGTGTTTGTGAAAAATGGGGTTCTTTTTAATCCACATCTAGGAAAAAAAACTACAGAATCCGCATGCTATAATTATCTCCTTTACATGGGAGCTCTGTAGACTGTAGCTATCCCTTGTTGTTTGTGTGATATTTGAAGACTATTGACATTATCTAACAGGAAATCCACATGCTCTGTAATGGTAAACCTGTTAGTTTCTTGCAATGTATTTGGACTACATTTGGTGTAAAGTTGAATAATGAGCCTACATTTTGGACACCCCAAAATCTGATATTTACTGCCAGTATGAAGTATGAACAGAGAGTTGAGATGCATTAGTGCGTAGTATCATCATTATGCTTCTTCCAGATTAGACTGGCATATATGCTAGTCCTTATGTGGTATAGCAACAAACCATGAATGCCTTTTTTTTCCTCTAGAGGCTAATGTTAACCATGTCTTCTCCTGAAAATTTTGTTATTTAAGGACCTCTTCAGAATGTTTGAACCATAAGCAATTGGTGGATAATAGGATTACATTTTAATTTTCAGGGTAAAAAAAAAGTAAATAAGATGCTCAAATAGTTATGCCCGTGCTGTTTAAATTCTTACTTGCCCTTGTTACTGAAGTTTTACCCTTTTCTTCCGAAATTATTCCTGAGCTTCACTGAGCCTCAGAATTACAGAACAGATCTGGACTTTAATGTTAGATGTTAGTATCTTTACTGGAAACATCTTGTTGGCTTAAGACTGAGAACCTAAGACTTAGCTTCTGTACTCTTGAGTTGCTAAAAGAATTAGCTCCATAAAATATGCATTTATTGTATTGTACAGTAAATATCAGCTGACGCTGTTAATTACCTTTCTGCTGATATGAATTTCTATCTTTTTCTAGGGTTTGTCCACTTTGTCGTGGCGATGTCTGCAGATCTGATGCACCGATTAGAAAGGTCAGCTGATTCTGTCTCTTGAGAATGCAGCTTCTTACAGAGAAAAGTGGAGCTCCTGGCATGGAACAGCTCAGGATGCTCCTGTATTCTATGGAAAATTCGCATCGCAGTCATACCATTATGAAACTGATGACATGCTACGGTGAATTTAGGATTCTTGTATGGTGGGGCGAGTTTGTTGATATTGGATTGTTGGCTTCCGTTTCTTTATAACGTTTGAACAAAGTGGGGCGATTGATGATGTCGGGTGGAGCCATTCTGGACAACTGTCAAATCTATTGGTTCCACATGTTTCCTATTTGAACAGGGGACTAAAATCTTCAAATGTTACCGTCGTTTTCACTTTTCAGTCCCCAGGGAAAGTAGTACTTTCCCGTCTGTTTGGTCAAGGAATGAAAAACAGGAATATGAAAAATACACAGGAAAGGAAGTTAAGCATAGACGCATAGTGGTAAAACTAAGGAAAGAAAAACCGCATGAAAAAAATGAGGGAACGTTTGGAACATAGGAATTTGTAACACAGGAATTGCAAAGCATATGATTGATAAAAGGCACTCAACACATAATGACATTGGAATTTGTAACGCATAGAGTGGACCCAGGGTAGGGCCTGCTATCCATGAGCTATAGCTTGAAGCAGCAAGAACAAAGCTAACATTGCATGGTGATATGGCTTGGCTAATCATTTGTCCCCAACTATGTTAGCACCTTAACAGTAGCATGCTGCGTTGACTTCCGTGAAGAGGAAAAAACATTGGATGTTATCAAATTTACCTCGATCCATATCTCAACATATATGGATTAATGCGAATCTGACTATATTCAAATAAGGCATGTGAAATCGTGAAGGGACTACAAAAGCAAGGGGGTGTTTTCCTATGTTCCAAACAGCATGCTTGCTTTCCTTTCCTCTATTTTGGTTTTCTTTGAACTTCCTAAAAAAAAATCCTATGATCCAAATGGGCCTTTAGAATGTTTTTTGTCTACCACTGTGGTGGTCCTACTCCACCTACACGATTCATCACCGTACAATTAGACGTAGGGAGTAGGATCCTTGTTCGAATCAGTATAAATCTTGAGTTCCCGAGTGCTAAGTCACCCATGCTAAACACTTGATCAGAAATTTATTAGTCGAAGGCACGAAACACCGAAAATAGCCAAAGGTCGTGGAAGGATTTTGTGATCTAGCTATTCGGCCAGTTCGCTGGTTGGTTTCTGGGCTGATAAGCCCGGCTGGTGTTGGTTTGTTGTGAGAGAAAAACATCGTTGACTGGCTGATAAGCCCTGACTGAAACCAACGAGCGAACACGCTGATTGACTTAAGATGGGAATTCCAAGAGATATTTAATTCATGCAGAGGAGTATAAGACTATTTTACCACAATCACATAGTGGATTTGGTGGAGTATAGTGAACACGGTTGCTATGGTAAAAACTTGGTAGCTTCGATTTCACATAAAAACTTGCATTATGTACTTCTGTGCTAACCGTTCATGCTTTGTTAACAAGGATCTAATAATGTCAATGGGCTACAAATAGAATTTACAAAGATCACAATTAAAATGTTATTTTTTAGTTATAAGTACAATACACGTGTAAACTATAATTATCATGATGTTATTTTTTTTATTCTTGTTATAATGCATGAGTATAACCAAAAGAAAATGGACCAACTCAGTCACGAAAATTGAGTCTACGCGTCCACGTGACAATATTGTGCCTAAATTTTAGGCCTGGTATGGGCTTCAGGTCAGGCTCGGGCCTGCCAATGCCAAGAAACCTTCTTGCTAAACCCGACGCAAACCGGCAAACCGCGGCTTTCCGAGTTTCCGACTCGGCTTGAAAGCACACGTTGCGTTAAATTTGCCGTTACCTTCCCAAGGTGGCAGGTTCCACCCCCGTCCCCAATCCTCGCGTCCCCCCAAACCCTAGTGCATTGCAAAGCATCGGAAGCCATGGCGGTCGCGGGGCCGGGGCAGCTCAACCTCGACGAGTCGCCGTCATGGGGTTCCCGTAGCATCGACTGCTTCGAGAAACTCGAGCAGATCGGGGAGGGCACCTACGGGTACGCATGTCTCAAAATCTCCCCTCAATTCCTCAATCCCTTGGGGACGCCGCCGCCTAGGCGCAGTTTGTGCGGCCTTGTTGACTCGTTATAGTGATTGTTTCTAGGCAAGTCTTCATGGCGAAGGAGACGGAGACGAAGGAAATCGTGGCGCTGAAGAAGATCCGAATGGACAACGAGCGGGAGGGCGTAAGTATTCCCCTTCCCCTTCTCATGGCTCGCGTAAAATTCGTGCTTGTCGCGGCTTTAAACTCGTTTGAATTGAATCCGGCGCAGTTCCCTATCACGGCCATCCGCGAGATTAAAATCCTGAAGAAGCTGCACCACCAAAACGTCATCAATCTCAAAGAGATCGTCACCTCGCCAGGTTTGACAAATATACCACGATTTTTTTTTTCAATGAAAATTTACCACGAGTCGGGGCATTGTCCCTGCGAACTGTTTTCGCGCGGTCTATTATTGGCTACTGTTAATTGTTTCAGGGCCAGAGAGAGATGAGCAGGGGAAGCAAAGTATGATTCTTAACAAAAAAACTACTATTTTTTTTGCTTTATTGTATAATTTTGATCTCCTTGTTGTGATGTTGGATAGTTGAGGGCAACAAGTACAAAGGGAGCATTTACATGGTCTTTGGGTACATGGATCATGACTTGACAGGGCTGTCAGACAGGCCTGCAATGCGGTTCAGCATACCACAGGTTAAGGTAAAAACCATCCATATGTGTGATGGTTCTTGGTTGCCATGAGGTGTTGTTCGTGATCTAATGATAGCAATATGTCTGGTATGTTATGTACCAGTGCTACATGAGACAACTCCTTATGGGTCTACACTACTGTCATATCAATCAAGTTCTGCATCGAGATATTAAAGGTATGACACACTAGTTCTTTTTCTAGGGTCTATGTTATGACTTGCTTGTCTTTTTCACTAACATTGTATTTAAACATATATTCACTTTCAGGATCTAATCTCTTGATAGACAATCATGGTATCTTAAAGCTTGCTGATTTTGGCCTGGCGAGATCATTTTCAAATGATCACCATGCAAACCTCACTAACCGTGTTATCACCTTGTGGTACAGGTAGATGTTCTGTTAGTAGACTATCATTGTTGTATGCAAGCTATATACTGTATTACTTAGATGTATATTCTTCTGATTTTGTTGGATTAATGATTTGCAGACCCCCAGAGTTGTTGTTGGGAAGCACACAATATGGGCCAGCAGTTGACATGTGGTCTGTGGGTTGTATTTTTGCAGAGCTTCTTTATGGAAAGCCTATATTGCCTGGAAAGAATGAGGTATGGTTTCTTGTAAGCTCTGAACCACCAACTTAGTTATGCTAGCAATTCCTATCGACTGTAATAAGTTTGTTGCTGGTCTGAGTGTCTGCCATAAGCCCATAAAGTAAGCAAACCTAGAAATATTCTGATATCTGCCTTGTTTGGAGTTGTCTATTTTTAAATTAGGTAGGAAGCACTTTCTGATATGTATTATTTTGCTAATTCATCCTAGATGCTGCTTCCTCTTATTTGACTGAAGGAAACTTTAGATACTATTTTTTGTCACAATTCTTATCCAAACATTTTATGTTATGAATGCCATGTACTCCCCTACTTATTCTCTTTTGTCTTAACTGAAGTGTGTGTGGATGGGTTTTGATGATAAACAAAAAACTTGGAATGTATGAGAAACTAGAGCATGTATGATATCAGAAACAAACTTATGTGACAGGTGTGGTAGTAATAGAAAAGGAAGATTTCATGTTATAAAGTCATGTTAACTTGATTAGATGAGAAGCGTACTCATGTAGGCATGTATCCTAGTCATGACGATTTTCAATCACATTTGGATATGTTTGAAGATTGAGTAATCAAAATGAAGGCTTGTGTGTTTGCCAATAGAAACATCAATGCATCTAAGTGGCCATTGTCTATCAAATTCTTGCCCGAAATCTGCTTCAGGATCATCCTGGTTTTCTTAGGATCAGATATAATCATATACCTCATTATTGCAATATTGTTCCGTCTAGCACAGCAGCCCTCTCCAAATAGTATGCATGCCCAATTAGTTTCTGCAATCATTTTCCATTACTAGTGTACTCCCAAACATGATTTTTTTTCATTATAGTTATGATTAACAGACTTGCATCCATTAGTTCCATTTTGAAGCTCATACTTATAAATAAGAACCTTGTTTTCTGTTTTTGTGATGCAGCCGGAGCAGCTGACAAAAATATTTGAGCTTTGTGGTACACCTGATGAGTTCAGCTGGCCAGGCGTCATGAAATTGCCATGGTATAATAATTTAAAGCCTCCTCGAGTAATTACAAGACGTGTTAAGGAGGTTTTTAAGCAGTAAGTATTATACTTTGTATTCACCATGTTGTAGCTTGCCCTGCTTCCTCACATGTTTGTGATCCCAGTTTTGACCCGCATGCTCTGGATCTGCTTGAGAAGATGTTAACACTGGATCCATTACAGGTACAGTTGCTTCTTCTTACTGTTACTTAGCATTGATATGTATTTGCTATGTGAATTGACTAAAATCTTGAGACCTGAATTGGCATGCCTTTACACTTTTCAGAGGATATCGGCAAAAGACGCACTTGATGCAGATTACTTTTGGACTGATCCCCCGCCAGCTGAGCCTCACACGTATGGTTCATTGCTTTTTTTACTCGCAAAGCTTTGTGTCATAATAAGTTGTTCTAAGTCAATTCAATTGTGCTTTATCTATTCTTTCTTAAATTAATTGTATATATTTCATGTTTGCAAATGTAGCTTGCCCAAGTACGAATCATCACATGAATTCCAGACTAAGAAAAAACGTCAACAGCAGCGGCAAGCTGAAGAAGCGGCAAAGCGGCAAAAGGTTCAGCATCCTCATCCACATGCTCGTTTGCCACCAATCCAACACCAGGGCCAACCACATTCACAGATCAGGTCAGGGCAACCTATGGGTAACCCTCATGCTCCAATGGCACCTGGGCCAAGCCATCACTACACAAAACCCCGAGGTCCAGGAGGGCCAAACAGATATCCACAGGGTGGAAACCAAGGTAGAGGATACCCAAATCGTGGTGGGCAAGGCGGCGGCTACAGCAGTGGCCCTTATCCTCAACAAGGCCGAGGGCCGCAGCCATACCCTGGTGGTGGGATGGGTGGAACAGGTGGCCCAAGCGGTGGAAATGGCAGTGGCTATGGAGTTGGCAGACCAAATTATCAGCAGGTTGGCCCTTATGGCGTATCTGGATCTGGCCCAGGCAGAGGGTCAAACTATCCTCAACAAGGTGGTTCTCGCAATCAGCAGCAGTATGGAAACTGGCAGTAACATTTAAACACTACCTTTTTTTTTAGATTTGATCACTTCAGATGGTCCTAAATCAGATAAATTTATCGAATTGTAGGTTGATTTAGTATGGTAATAAATATCCATTGACTGTAATTACAGTTAGTCACGAATGAACCCTGGGTCCTTAAACTTTTAGGACATCATTTTACTCAACTATCTACATCTAGTATAACTAGGTGATTGCCCATGCTTTGCAATGGATCAACAAAAAATTGCACGAGATGTATGCTGCATGCTTGTTTGTAACATAATCTAGTAGTCACTGCCAGCCGCTTTTGGTCCCAAATCTTTAATTCTTTTAACCCAATTCAAGCTGAAGAAACTTATAATTTAACTCTTTTAACCCAAATCTTTACGTCAGCTAGTCGTTTGAACATATAATTTAACTCTTTTAACCCAACTCAAGCTAAAGAAACTTATTCAGTGGTCACTGCCAATCGCTTGTGGTCTGAAATCTTTGGTGTTGCTTCAATAATGCTTTTGGTTCCAAATCTTTGGTGTTGCTTTTTTTTCCCCGATAAATGTTGGTTACATTTCTTTATGCTATTTGTATCTGTCACCGGTTTATGGACGAGTGCTACGTGCCTATGATTTCGTTTCCAGAAAATAAGAACCGGTGCAACAGGCACGTATCACTGTTTTACCTTATGACGAGTTTTGTATTTTTAATCATATAAGATCTAAATTCAACCACGGCCGGCTGCGGAATTCTGGAAAGATAAAATAATTGTAAAATTAAAGCATGACTTGGTTTATCATCTTGTACTTTCACATGGGAGTTCCATTTAATACTCCGCAATCCTCATCTTGTACTTTCATCTTGTACTTTCACTTGAACGTGCCAAGTCAATTATCTTTCACAATGATACGTATAATAAAAAGGAACGGAATCCTAATACTTCTCATACAAAGAAACGGAGGGAGGGATTTTTCATGCTCCATTGTGCATAGTATACATGCTACTGAGAAGACTCAGAAGCTCCAAATTTTTTATGATAGAATTTGTAGAGCAGAGTTGGTGGGTCAATCCCAAACTCACCGCCCTACGAATCGGCTTCTCAGCGACTACTAGGCCGTCGCACAATGCAAATGCGCTTCGGCCGCCTTCTTTGGCTCAGGCGTTTCGAGGTTTTTGTCCTGATAGTAGTGCGGCGCGATCTCCAGCAGCCACTCCGGCTTAAGCTCCGTCACCTGCCTCATGTACTCCTTGGTCGTCTCCACTAGCTCGTGATACAACACCCAACGAGCGGGAGGTTCCACCCGCGCCATCCCGGAGCTCGGGTGCACGAACACCGTTCGCCAGCTCTTGACGGTCCGGTACGACCCGTCCTGCCGCAGCTGCGCGGTGTTGCGGAAAAACCCCGCCGTGATGGCCTTCCTCACCGCGTCGAGGTCGCCGGCGCTTGACCGGCGCTCGATCTCCACCCGCTCCAGCAGCGCCTCCAGCTGCTCCCGGACGTCCCGCGCGCGCCGCATGGTGCGTGACTGCACGAAGTGATCGAGGCACCACTGCGCCGAGTGCCCGGACTCCTCCCACTCGGTGTACACGTTGAGCAGCGCGATGTGGTCGCCGACGTTGCCCGCGTTGAAGCGCTGCCGCGCGGCGTCGGCGATCAGCGCCTTGTCCCTCGGCCGGTAGAAGACAGCGTTCCCGGCCGACAGCATGGCCGCGATGGTGAGCACCTCCTCGGAGCACCCGTACCTCTCTGACGCCACGATCGCCTTGGCCATCATGGGGTCCAGCGGGAGCTCCACCATCCGCCGCCCGGTCTTGGTCAGCTCGCCGCGGCTGTTGAGCGCGCCGAGGGCGAAGAGATCCTCGAGCGCCTTGAGCAGCGCCTCCGACGCCGGCGGGTCCATGAAGTCGAAGCTTACCAGGTCGTTGATCCCCAGCGCCTTGAGCGAGAGCACCACGCTATCCAGGTTGCTCCGCCGGATCTCAGGAACCGTCTCGTCCTCCATGTCATTGTTGTAGCTGTACTCCGTGAAGAGGCGGAAGCACTTGCCCGGGCCAGTGCGCCCCGACCGGCCGGCCCGCTGGTCGGCCGACGCCTTGGAGATGGGGTGGACGAGCAGCGACTCCGTCCCCGTGCGCGGGCTGTACAGCTTCACCTTGCAGAATCCCGGGTCGACCACGTAGCTGATCCCGTCGATTGTCAGGGACGTCTCGGCGATGTTGGTAGCCAGCACCACCTTCCGAGCGCCCGGCGGCGCTGGCTCGAAGATCTTGGCCTGGAGCTCGGTGGGCAGGTTCGCGTAGATGGGGCAGATCACCAGCTCCGCGATCTTGGATCCCAGTCCCCTCGTCCGGCGCCGGAGGATCTCCTCCACCGTCTCGATCTCCTCCTGCCCCGTGAGGAACACCAGGATGTCGCCGGGGGGCTGCGTCACGTGCAGCTGCAGCACCGTGGCCACGGCCGCGTCGACGTAGTCGGCTTCCGGCGCCACCGTGTAGTGGATGTCCACCTTGTACCTTCTCCCGGGGATCTTGAACACCGGTGCCATGTCGAAGTAGTCGCTGAACTTCTCCGCGTTGAGCGTCGCGCTGGAGATTAGCAGCTTCAGGTCCGGGCGAAAACGCGCGACATCCTTGACGAGGCCGAGCAGGATGTCGGTGGTGAGCGTGCGCTCGTGCGCCTCGTCCACGATCACCACACCGTAGCTGGCCAGGTCCGGTTCGCCGAGGAACTCACGCAAGAGCGTCCCGTCGGTCATGTACTTGACCACCGTCTTCTCAGACGTGCAGTCCTCGAACCGGATGGAGTATCCCACCTCGTGGCCGAGCTTGACGCCCATCTCCTGCGCGACCCTCGCCGCCACGCTCATAGCGGCCACGCGGCGTGGCTGGGTGCACCCGATCTTCAGGCCATTGGCTGTGTACCCTGCCTCGTGAAGATACTGCGGTATCTGCGTCGTCTTGCCGGAGCCGGTCTCTCCGACCACGACGATGATCTGGTGCTCGGCGATGGCCTTGAGCAGCTCGTCCTTGAACTTGTACACCGGGAGAGTCTTCCTCTCGTCTTGGAGCTCCCTCTGCAGCGTGACCTTGGCATCGATTTCGTCGGTCAGTTCGTCCGTCTCATGGTCCTGCTCCGTGCCCGCCATCGCCGCCGCGGACTTGACGAACTCAACGGCATCGTCGAACACCAACTCGTATTCATCGCTGGCGCCGCCGCGATCCTTCGATCCAAACTGCAGCCGAGACTTCCTGATCTGCTGTTCTTCCCAGGACTCCTGCTCCGAGAATGCCTTCCCCTTGGCTCCTCTCGCTTCGCGGTCATCGTCGTCGTGCCGCCGTCTCGCCACGGATAACATACTCTTCTGGTCCACGTTCGCGGCGTCGTCGTAGGCGTCAGGCATCCGGTAGTAGTCGCCTGCGCCTTCGTCTTGATCGGCGCGGCAGCCCTGGACAATAAGGTCGTAGATTTCCTTCTTGTGCTTTAACTCCCTCTCCTCGGCGTCCGTCAGCCTTACGCCGCTGAAGAGGAACTCGTTGTCGTCGATCTCGCACTGCAGCTCCCCCATCTTCTTCTCCTTCCGCTTCTTCAGGTACGCTTGACGAGAGGACCGCCTGAGCTCCGAGGTGTCGCCCCTGTCCATCGCCTCGGATCGTCGAGCTTGCTCGTCCTGCTCGTGCCTGGACGGCTTCCGATCCATCAGTTTCCTCGTGTTGGCCTCATCGCGTTCCCGGATATTCCGTTCGAGCTGAGCCTTCTCAGCCTGATCACGCCTCATCTCTTCCTCCTCATCACCGAGATCGTTGGCGTCCTCGTCCGATTCCGGGCACCGCCGCCGCCGCACGTCGCGTCCAGAATCGGAGAGTGCGGCCGCCTCTTCGTCATCCTGTTGAGGCGCCCCCTTCTTCCTAAAACGCTTCCGGCTGCTGCTATGACAGGACGACGCGGCGACGCCAGCCTCGCCGTCGTCATCGTCGTCGAGTAACTTGAACTCGCTCTGCTTCTTCGCCAACGCCGCCGCTTCCTGCATCTGCCTTCGGTACTCGGCGCCGGCAGCCGCGCCCTGTTTGCGAGGGATCCTGCCGTAGACGTCCTCCGCGAAAGCGACAGTGTCTGGGGAGGAGGGGAAACCGCCAAGATCCACGAGCCGTGCCGCGAGATCCCCCGCGGAGGCGCAGTCCTGCGCGAGCCGGACCACGAGCTGCACCACGATGCCCTGGGAATAGCCGAGCAGCGCCATGAGCCGATCCGAGACCCACGTCTTGAGCTGCCTCTCGCCGCTCTCCATGGTCGTGGCCCTTGGCTTCCCGGCCGTCTGATGTGGGATGGAGAAATTCGTAGACGTAGGCGGCGGCTACGGAGGCTGCGTAGCTCGGTGCGACGAGGGCACGCGCTGTGGCGAGGATTATTCGTCGATCGACGGATCCGAGGCGGCATCGTTTGGTTTGACCGAGTCGAACTTCTTAAGGGCCCGTTCGGTTACAGTAGAAATAGCTCAGGAATTAATCCCACTCATGAAGATATACAATTTTAACTAACATTCCGGCCAAGATTTTTTCCAGGCGGTCATTCCTGGCGTAACGAACGGGCCCTAAGGCGGTTTCGGTATGTCGGTTCGGATGCTTCGGCCCACGCGGCGAACCGGCGTGACCGGCATAGGCAGCTCAGGGAAAGAAATCAGAAGGTGCGCTGATTCTTTGGTTAGCAATATAACGAAAATGGTACGGATATTTTTCGACCGTATTCGAGACCGAATCCGTTTAGAGGGGTTTAGATCTGTTCATATCTGAGTTCGGATATTCAACATTTGATACTGTATCCGTATCCGTATCCGAATATTCAAATCGCATATTTACGATGTCGACATCTAATCGTATCCTATCCGGCATGGCTGACACTATCCGTATTCGAATCGAATCCGACCAGAAATATGAAAACAAATGTAATATCAGTGATATCCGTAAGCATCCGATCCGTTTTCATCCCTACTTAGCAATGTGAACACAAATGTTATGGCATGTTTGTTTCATGGTACTACTCGGTAGTCTCTTTTTAAGTCCCATTTATAGTCTCTAATTTGCTAAACATGGAGACTAAAAGAGGGACTAAAGTGGTCTAACTGAGTAGTCCTATGAGGGGTGAGTTTTGGGACTACTAGTCCAACTGGATAGCTCATGCCCCTCAATTATTGCCTCCCACCATCAGATTTGAGCATTGAATAAGGGTAACTTGGTCTTTATTCATTTGTTTTAATGGTCTTTAGTCTATTTTAGTCCCTATAACCAAATAGGGTAAGGGACTACAATTTAGAACCTTTTCCCTGTGTGCCATTATGAAAGATGCTCCAGGCCTACAGGCCACTAAAAAGTTCAAACGCACCCTGGTGCCATGACGCTAAACTCTTTTGTCCAACACTCCATTCCGTCCACTTTTAGCTCTAACAATGTCAAACTGTGCTAGAAAATGTCTAAACTACCCTCAGGTCTGCTAGCATAAGTGTATGCAATCTTTTAATCTTGGCCGCAGATCCAGAGAGGAACGGTGCAGGTTTATTGCCTGTATAAGTGTATTTCTAAAGCATTTTTGAAATTATTTTTCTAAAGGAAAATGGTTGTATAAGGTGTAAGCATGACTTCACGGTGAGGTTATCAAGCTCGCAAGGCAGAGTTCCCTCTGCTGCTCGCTCCGGTCACTCGCGCGGCGTTGCGCGCGGGCGCTGTCGCAGAAGCCAGCGAGGACGACAAGCCGCGTAGAGCTGCGCCACCCCGTCCCGAGCCACCGACGCCGCCGTAGTAGAGTTCGACACACTCATGGACGTCTAGTTCGACGACCCTAACAGGAACCACATCGGTCCGGATCTCGGCTCCATGGTCTCTGCCGCCTCCGCCAACCTCGGGGACGACGCCACCGGCAACGTCGACCTCACCTGCGAGAGGACCATGAACGCCTGGATCGACTACCGTCCCTCCGGTTCTAGCAACGGGAAAGGTGGCGTCTTGGAGGTGTTCGTATCCTACGCGCCCAAGCGCTCGCCCAGGCCCGTGTTGTCCGCGCCACTCGACCTCGGGGAGCACGTCAAGGACACCGCATTCGTTGGATTGTTCGCCTCCACGCAGGGGAGCACGGAGACGCATGCCATCGAGCGGTGGAGCTTCTCCACTACGTCGCCTTCGCCATCCCTGCGTTCGGCACCCGCCGCGGCACCGCCCGACTCTACCCCGGTGCTCCTGTAACACCTTTGGTGTTACGAGCTTGCTTAACACCAAGATTTAGACCTAAGAGGATTTACCAAAATGATTTTCTCGGATTTTAAAATTTAACTTATGTTTGAAAGTGTCATTTTGCCGAATTATATTGAATAACGGGTTAATTAATTCCTAGATGTTTGTTTCTACGAGTTAGCATGACGTATGAACTAGTGTATGAAATGCATACTGGTTGGAATTAATTAAGTTTAGGCATATTAAAAATTACGACAGAAAGCGCTAAAGGTGGTAGTCTAGCTAAGTTATTACTCTCTCTAAGTCAGAAACGATGATAGTAGACAATGCCGATTTGACATTCGATTTCCAACAAAAATGGTTAAGCACTACATCTATGTTTTTCGCACGATCGGCTGCTTTAGGGCATATACTAGGACGTGGTGCAGGTCGTGGTTACGTTAGAGTTACGATGCTCACGTAAAAATTGACCGAACTTTACTAGAACGCGTTGACTGAGTCGTTGGGCGCCCTGTTCGTGAACCGGCACCTGTAACAAGCGATCTTCGCCGCTCATCTCAACTACCTCGCTCGCGTCCTTACTGTTGTCCTTGTCTTTGCCCTCCCGCTCGCTCTCTCTCGTCTGCTTTGTTTGGTGCCGCTGCCACTACTGGACGAGCGCAGTCGGCGGCATGTGAGCATGCTCCCTCGCGTCCTTGTTCTGGTGTGCGTTAAAGCAAGTTGACCGAGCTCGTTTCTTGAATCGATCCATCGTGCAGGGGCGTCAGAAGGAGAGCACGTGGCCCTGCTCCTGCCACGCTGCGTCCACTCCCTTTCTCGTGCGGCACAGGCACACCTCTGCTGGCTACGCTACACCGTCCTGCCCTGTCCCCTCGTTGTGCTTGAAATTGGTGGCGAGTTCGCATGAGTTTCCTCGTTTTTCCTCTTGTGCCCGTTCGGTCTGCCTCTACTTGCTACTTGCTCTGCCGAACCAAGCACCCGCCTTGGTGGCACCGTCGTCGCTGCGCCTCCTTTCCACCCGTCGTTCCCTTCCCTTCGTGTGTGCGCACATGCTCCACTACGCTGCCCTTCCGAGCACCTCCTCCGCGGTCCGCGCGCCTTGATCGTGCTAGCGCGCCATCACGTCGCGTGTCCCATCTGACCGCGCTTGCAGCCGCTACTCCGGGCGGCCTCCCGCTGCACCTGGGGAAACTCCCATGCCGGCCCTCCCCGCGCGCGAGCCCCTGGTCCGCTCTGGACCGCTGCCCCTCCTGTGCGCCCGTTCCCATAGTCGCCAGCGCCCCGTCCTCTTCCTCCCCTACGCTCGGTACCCTAGCGTCCGCTCCCTTGACCCGGCACGCCGCTCCACCACGTGGCCACCGTGGCCGCGCCGTCCATTGTCATCCGTGGCCCGATCTCTTGCGAGCGCATGCACACCCCGTGGCCTCGTGCTGGTCCACAGCTCCCTTGGCGCTGCCCGTTCACGCCAGTACGGCTTTGTAGCGCACGGCTCTGCCTCGCCTTCTCTCCTTTGCATCGCAGCGCCGTTGCTGCGCCTCCTCACCGACGCCTCCGTGGCCTTCGCCTGCACGCGCCAGGGTTCCACGCCGCGTCTCCGTCGTGGTTCGCGCCCCATGCCCACGCCGGTGCCGATGCTGTGCCGCCGTGCTACCGCTTCCTGCTGTGGTGCCCCCCCATGTCGGCGTCACACATCCCCCATGGCACTGCCCCGCCCCGCCGTGCCTCCCCGTGGACGACCGCGCTGGGAGCCGGCCATCCCGTCGTCATCGTCGTCGTGGCGCACCTCCCCACGGCCGGTCCTCTGCCACCACCGTGCTTTCCCCGGCCGGGATTGATCGCCGACCAGTGCTCCTCTGCTCCGTGTGCTGAGTGGAGGGAGAAAGGTAAGAGTAGAAAATGATTTTTGGACCGGAATGCAAAACTTGTGACTGAAATGAATAGCGTCAACAGTCGTAATGCGAATTAGTAAGGCAACGAGGTCTCTCTTGCAAAATTGACATCCCGCACTGGGCCTCCCCTCTTGGGCTAGCCTGCTAGCCAGCTGGGCCTTGCGTCCTACTCGGCCATGGGCCTCCGGCACGCCTAGGCCAGCCTTGTGCCATCCGCGCCTGGGCCGCGCACGCGCTGTGCGCTGGGCCGCGTACCCACGTGGGCCAGCCTGCTCCGGCTACGCTCCGTCGGTTGGCTACGTGGGCTGGCCTTCGAGCCCATCGGATTGGGCTGACTTGGGCCGAAATGGATGGCGAATCCTTTTTCCTTTTATCACTGTTGTTAATCCCTTTAAATGGCTGAAACTTGTAAAATTCATAGTAAATCGTAGAAAAATCATAAAAATGCCAAACCTATTTTGTTGAGTTTCTAAAATCATGATCTATCTGATAGGGTGTTTCGTTTGCATTGGTTCCATATGTTTTAGGGTTGCTCTAATTATTTTAAAGTGTTTAATATTGTTAAACTGTAAACTTGTAGGAATTGTTGGGATAAATTGGCAATAGTGTTAGATCTAAAATTTTTATAGTAGGTTCCTAGTAATATTAGGTATTCACTGTAATTTTTGTAGACCCTTAGGGATTAGTTGTTAAGGTAACTAAATGAGCCCTAGTGTGTAAATATATATTTAATCAATCGAATGTCAAAAACAATTAGGGGTTTGTAGAACGAAAACAGTTCCGGAAACAAGCTTTACTTGACGACGAGGATACGTAGACTAGCGTTAGAGCTATCTCGTTAGCTTGTGAGGCATGATCGGATTTCTAAGCATTTCGGCTGTCGTTGATTATTTACATCTATGCATTTGCATCAATGCATATCATATAGGTACGATGATGGATCAACGGATCAATTGAAGGATGATTGGAAATCCGAAGATGGTGTAATGGTATTCTCTCCAGGAGATGATGCAATGGACTTTCTATTCAGTTGATGGTGGATGATCTAAAGATGCAGATAGTAACTTTTTAGTATATATCTTACCCAGGCAAGCCCCGGTGCATAACCCCTAGTTTTTTGCACTTTAAATTATATTTGTGCATTAAGTTTTAAGGAGTTGAATGAAACCCACTTGCAT